AGGGCGCCCGGCGGCGGGTGCCGCTGCGCCCGGCGTCCCCCTCCGAGGGGGAGAGGAAAAGCAGGGCTACGGAAATAACTGCGTTTTCCCGAATTGGTACGATTTAGCCCTGGATGCCCGCCGGGAACGCGGATGGCTTGTGAGGAAAAAATGTACTTTAAAAATTGTGTTTACTTTCTGCACTGCGCTTAACCTGGCTCAGTAATGGTGGCTTGTTTCACTGTAGTGGCCTAGTGCAGTTTTTCAAATCCTATCTGTAAGCGATTTATTTGGAGCAAAAAATAGGCTTTATAGGGCTTGACATCTGATTTTCTGAATCGTATTTTATCAAGGCTGCCTTGGTAAAATCTTATTTTACTTTGAGCCTTAATAACACAGTATCTCATGTTAGAGCCTGCAGTTTCCAAATGTGCGGATCTGCTTTCGTGAGAGCCCTGATAGAGAGCCCTGCTGCTCAGCTGAAGGGGCATCTGAAAGTGGATCATAAAAGATTCCCTCTGATGGAAGGAAAGCAAAACCCTTGGGCTGCCAAGACATGGCAGTAGCCACAAAAGAGAAGGGAGGTACCTTCTTTCCTGGTCGCTTGTACCTTTGCTTGTCCCTGTTGAAATCAGGAGCATTTCCCTAGATATAAATGAGGCTTGTGAACTACAGGTTTTCTCTCTGGCCTCCTGAAATAACAGCCTGTAAACTGAAATAAAGAACTGATGATGGAAGGGTTTCATCACCTGCCACATCATCCTTGTTTCTTTACACAATTACATAAAAACTGTTTTTTAGCCTGAAGTCAGCATGTTTCTTTTGGCCGTGTTTTAGAGTAGGAGAGAGCAGAAGACTAAAAAGACTGCTTTAACACTTGAGTAATCTTTCTAAGAGTCAAATTCTGACTTGATAAACAGTAATTAATGAAATAGCTTTTGATTTCAATAAGAATATAGAACACTAAAATATGTTAGCAGTGTTCTTGTTTCTAAATAATCATATAGTAGAACCTTCTGAACTTAAACATGAGGAGGATATTCATGATTTGTGAAAGCTAGAGCCAGTCAATGGAGCTAGAATTAAGTCAAATTTTTAATACAAAATTTTAGTTATCGATAAACTAATAACTAATTATGGAGGCACAAATCTGTATGTATTGCGGATAATTCTGCCTTTCGTAAATTGCAAACCAAACCAAACAAAAAGGCAAAACAACAAAAAGAAACATCAGTTTTCCCAGCAGTCCCATGCATTGCTGTTATGTAGCAGTGAGGAGGGAAGGTCCATCCCACCTCCTCCTGCGGGTTCAGCTTTGTGCTGCGCCTTAGCTCCAGTCTCTGCCCTGCCCCTTTAAATGGGAGGATCCTCCTCTGGGAACTGGATTTAATCCCAGGGGTGACTTCCCTCTGTATATTACTCCAAATTATAAGAATCACAATGATATGGAGATGTTGGGAGATGAAGATGAGAAACAGAGCTTTTGTGTATAATATTGTCAAATGGCCCCAAGTTCTCTTTTCTTTATATTAGTTTATTAATACAAAATGGACTAAAACTGCAAGTGGGCATTGTTCTGGGGCATTAAAAGGTGCATTGTATTCTCTTGTTAGTCACTGCTGCAGAGCCAATAAATCTTGCCTGGTACATGTTTATAAAGAAATTGTTGCGCCCAAATGGGACTCTCTGGTCCGTTTTGGTAAATTAGGACTGCTATTAACAGCTCTCATCTTGCTTTTGCTAACTGCTCTAAAAGGAAGGTTTCCTTCCCACTGTATTTCTGTCTCTTTCTTTAAGTAGCCTATATAGGTTATCTTTTAGAGCAGTATTTGCCAGAAGCTAAATAACACTTTATCTTCTGAATGCTGTGGCTGCAGAGTGACTCAATAATTTCTGCTTGTCCTAAAATAAGCCAGAAGAAGTACTGAGATGAATAGATTGCAAATGGAAGTTAGTTAAAATGAGGTGGTGCTGTCAGTCCCTGTGATTCTGGGTTCCAGGTTTTCCTTGACTTCCAAGCAATTTGCTATGGGAGATTGCTCCAGATTTTTGATGTTTCAGTTTTCTTCCAATTGTTTCATATCATTTATTAAAGTATGGTAATTGCTTCATGTATGATATGGTATTTGTGGTGCTGTATCGTAATGCATCTTGTTGTTTATTTGTTGTTTGTAGCCTTATCCCTTAGAGAAATGAAGCTAATGTGATTGCTCTGCCAGGTGGTCCTCCCAGCCACTCCAAGGGAGCATGGGAAGTGTTGTGACTAGATGAGAAAAGAACCAGGGAATAGCCATTGAAAATCCCTGTGGGGAAAACAACAACATTTTTTGTTTTGGGGTCTACTGTTAACTACTCATTTTATGTAAAATTCTTTTCTAATCTGCTGTATTCTTTCTCTTCCCTTTCTCTTTGGAAGAAAAGCACTGCTACTAAATTTGGACACCTATATGCTTTAGCTACCATTTTCTGAGAAGAGTGTTGCTCACATTTGGGCCCTAATTCTAAGATTAGTGTGCAAGTATTAATGTATTTAAAAGCTGTTGTGGAGTAGGAAAACAGAAGCCCAGGATCAATTGGTTTACATTAGAACTACTCCTTGGAAGTCGGAGGAGCAGTGCAGACCTGCAGGTGTGGAGCTGGCCCTCTGGCCTCTTGTAACATGACAACCACTTGCAGTGAAATTTAATTATCACAAGGGAAGGGTCGTGACTGTCCGGAGAAGCAGAAGCATGTTAATGTGAGGTGCAATCTACAACTAATTGATGACTTGCAGCATCAGTTAATGCTCATTGGAAGTTTTAAACTGAATGTTAATGTAATATGTGCATACATGTAGCATAAAATTAAGTTCTTTAGTTAGTATGTCTGACTTGTTAGTGAAAGCTTTTGTGTTTAGCATTCAGCACTGAGGCAATGTAAGGCCTAGAATCAACTTCCATTGGGAAATGGCTAAAGAAAGTCACTCAGTAAAAGTGACTTACTTCTGAATAGTGGCTGCTCTGCCTGTGATAGAGGATCTGTTTCCAAGCCTGAGGAGTAGAAAGGGTGTTCTTTTTTTTTTTTTTTTTTTTTTTTTTTCTCCTCACTGCGTGCATCAGAGTTATTTTGAGCTTCCCTATTCAGCTCTAGGGACAAGGTTCAAATCCCCGTGGAGAGTTGAGGCGCTGGTGCGTTGCCCTATAACAGTCATAGTCATTCAAGCTGTGAGTATCGATGTGTCTCCAAAGCCCTGTCAGAACTGGCCTGAGAGATGGGGCACTTGCCCCGAGCTGGCCCAGGATGTGCCCTGTGCTCCCTGCTAGCCCAGTGAGGTAGGGCTTGCTGTGGTGCTCGGAAGTTCCCAGTAATCTGTCTGTGAGAGCTCGTCTCCGAGGTTCTCTGCGTACGTATCTGCTCTGGGTGCTTTCCTGAAAAGGACGTGCTTTTGCTTGCCTTGCCGCCGGGGGACTCATTTTCTCTAGGTACTTGGGTGCCATCCTTCCCCAATTCCACAAGACAGCAACATGTCTGTCTTCTGAAGCGTGTTGCCATGGCCATCACTTTGCCTTTATGATTTGCTGTCCCCATAGTTATTTTGCATTTAAAAACAATTTGCCTCTAGAGTTCTGTTTGAAAATCATTTCAGAATGAAATGATCCTTTCAGGGAAATGGTAAGATTGTAGCTGTTACAAATTTCCTTGTGGCTCAAGATACCTAAAGGAAATCAAGTGCGTTGTCAGTAGTGCAAGTTCACTATCTCCTATCTGCATCTTAAACATAAAAACCTTTAAAAATCTGGCCTCCTAGTTCATTAAGGGATGCTTTGGATGTTGTCTCTCCCTCTTACACTAATACTGCTTAATGTGAGGAAAGGTTGAAGTGATGCTTTGTGCTCTGCTCTTCTCACGGTGAACACTTTTTCCTTTTCTGCTTTGTCTCTTCTGTGTCTGCAAAATGAACCTCCTGGTCTGGGAAGGCACTTTCTCCTTCCCCACCCTGAAATCTGACCTCATGAAGAGCTGATTGATGGGCATTTCTGCAGTCTGATGATGATCTCATACCATTAAAAGAGAAAAACGTGCAGGAATAGCAGATACCAGATAATGAAAGGCTTTGCCTTTTAGGTGGATGCTTTCTTCTGTGTCTATTTACAAGTAACTAGCAATCATGGATATGCAGGCTTAGCTAACAGTTGTCTGTATACAAGATCTGCCTGTATATTCTTATGATGTCTTTTCTCTTTATAACCTGTGGGGGTTGAGAACTGCTTTTTCAAGTTTAAAAAATATTTGCTGTAGTTTTAAATTAATTCCTTTTCTGCACCTCTCTTCTAAAGTGGCAGGAGGCAAAAGACCATCTGCAAAGGTTCAACAGCAGAAGCTGCTTCCTTCCTCTCCCACAGAATGATACATGAGTATTAAGAAAGGAGACTGACCTTTCTATTTACATCCTTGCTTGTGCATATCATCAGAAATTATAAAATGAGTAGACGCTTGATAGAGCGTGTATCTGAAACAACATAGTGAATTAAAACCAGCTTGACAGCAGTGTGGCAGCTTGCAAAATACAGACTGTGCTGGTCTATTCCTGGGTCCTTGTCTCCCACTGAATCTTTCTCAGTGACACACTAGTCAGCTCTGGTTTTGTGGTGCAGGGAGATGTACAAGAGATGTCCTGCTGCTCGTGAGAAACCAGGTTGGTCTGATGTACCAAAGAGCATAAGGATAATAGTTTGCCCACAGAGACATGTGAGCAAATAAAATGTC